CATTGCGAAATATATTATTTGAATGTTAATTTATTATGAATTTTATAAATATAGATATGTAGATATTTAGAGTCAAAGTTCAACTTAGAAGATCGTGAAAAGTCAAAATAGGAAGATCTTTGTGTTACTGTATATAGAACATGAATAGCTATAGAGATTATAAACTTCGTGTCACGCCAGTGGTTGAATACATGTAAAAGCCTTTCTATTGATCCTAAAGGTGGAATCTCCCACCCCAGGAGCCCTCACCCCGACCCGACAAGATAGTGGCCATGGGGACGTTAGTCACGGTGACTCAGTCAGCAGAATGGCAGTATGCCCGTACATCCGTGCGCACCAGAGGTCCAACCTTATTTCAGGTTCTGTGACCTTCATTGATCCAAATATCTCACCACTCGACCAATTGAGCTGTTGGGAAAATTAAAAATTGCATTAAATGATCATTTTGGGGCAATTATTTGAGTGGGGTCCACTTCCGATTTGGGTCGGGTCAAAGTGGTTTCGGATTGTCCTTGTTAAAGGCTACAATTTGATATATGGTACGCTCAAACGGATAACGGGTGAATAAGAAATTGATTCTCGAAGTTCACTCGTTGAAATTGAAAAACTGGGAAAATGATGGGTTTCTAGTGTGTTTTATACCACACCGGAAACCTCAAGGGATTTTCACCCCCTTATAAAGGGAAGCCTCTTTTAAGGAGTTAAGATTCTTAAAGCTAAAGACTCTCTCTTACGCGCAGGGGGGGGCGATCAAATCCCGAAACGGAGAAGAAAAACCGCGACTCGTGTGCACGGGCGATCTTCCGAAAATCTATCCACAAAGATGTGGTCTAATTTTTGTTTCTTCCCGTGACGTTTTATTTTTCTCAGGACCAGAGTCTTTGCAACAAATCCTCCTATAAATAGCTAACAGATGCTTTGCAACAACACATGCAATCATACACTATCTGCACGTATTTTGAACTCTAAAACACTTCCAGCTACTCGAAAAAATTTCTGAGTGTTCTACTTTGTTCCCGTTCGCCGAAACTCTCGTTTGTGTGCTCAAACGTTAGTTCGTTAGCCACCGTATCCTGGGAAACGGCTGTTGCAACGCTCCTAGCACCGTGGGTGGCGACAAATACGTTTTAAGGACATCGTGCGTAGCAAGAGCTCTGGCTAAACTCTGTCCCATCTCTTTTCTGTTTTTCTTGGACTATTTAACTAATTAATTATTTTTATTAATTAATATTTCTTCGTTTTTCTTAGACATATCCAACACTGAGCTACCCGTGCGGGTCATGGACAAGCCTTTCTAATCGACGAAGGAAGAGAGAAATGCTTCTTTGAAGTGGGAGATGCAATGAGAGGAGTGGGAGCATGAGATAGTTGAAAAGAGAGTTAGGGGCTGTTTACTTATGACTTAATGAACTTAATGGATATGTTGTCAATTTGACTAAACCATTTTATTTATTTTGCTTTTGCAGTATTTAATTTATATATAATCGGATCCCTAACAATAATTTATGATGTTTAACAAATGAATTGTGATGTTCTTTGAAGCTAATACGGAGTATATATGATTGTATTTAGGAGGGTTATTTGGTCATTAGACATGATTCAGACTTCTTATTCAGCACACTTAGTAAACGGCTTGTTATCTCAGTGTAACTTAATCCAAATAGACAGCTTAATGCAGACAGACATCTTAATCCATTCAGGACTTAATGACAAAAAAAGTAAACAGCCCCTTAGACAACTCGGGTAAGGAAAGGGAAAGGGTGGTGGATTGAGAATGGGGATGGGAATGAGAACGCACGAGGTGAGGAATTAAAAAGAAAATTGTAGAGAATAGATCAATAATAAATGAAAATTCTAGAGAGTAGATAAATGAGCTTTTCAAAAATATTAGTGTAAAAATTGAACTTTACACTGTAAAATTTAACCCAGTTTAGTCATGGTTAACTTCACATTATAATGATAAAAGTTACAAATCGTAAAGGATTGAAAAAGAAGTCTTTCAAAATTGTAGTTTGCTCACTTATTATATGTTTATAATTTTCTGTTTTTAGTACATGGTAAACACTAACTCCCTCTCTTTCGATTTATTTAATTCTCGTATGTATATATTATGCCTATTCTCTTATCAATCATTCATAGAATATAACTTAATGAAACTTTATATTATTATTGTTATTGTTGTTGTTATTGTTGTTGTTATCGTTGTTATTGTTATTGTTATTATCATTTTTATCATTGTTATGATTGTCATTGTCATTGTCATTATCATTATCATTGTCATTGTCCATTCTCCAAAAGGTGTAAGATTGTCATGATTGTCATTGTCATTGTCATTATCATTGTCATTGTTATTATCATTGTACATTCCATGATTGAGACTAGTCATTCTCCAAAAGGTGTAAGATTCTGGTCGAAGCAATGCCTGCCAGCTGCAATCACACTCAGACATAGTTGTTGTGCTAAGCCATGTGCGAGCCTATTCACCTATATCAAGGGGGAAAGGAAAAAAAAAGATGACATCCCATCTCTGAGGGCCTCTCGACCCTGATCGGACGGTACGTTTGGGAGGATGTAAATTGGACTATAATCTCAATCTGACAGATAGAGAGTGAGGCTCTGTCCCCGATACTTGCAGAGGCCCTATGCATTTTTAGCATAGTAACCCCTCATCGCAGTTGCCGGGATTCGAACCCGGGACCTAACCCTTGTGGCACTCCCTTGCTACCAGTTGAGCTACGCCCATCGGGAAAGGAAATATCAGCTTATGATTTCTTCGGAGTTCGGATGATTAGAGAGTAGGGATGACAATTTAACCCGACCCGATGGATACCCGCACCGAACCGAATCGGTCAAAATGGGGAAAACCACTTTGACTGGGTAACGGGTACGGGACAGGGAATACCCGATTTATGTAAATGGGTAATGGGGCGGTTATGGGTTTATACCTACCCGCCCCGTTACCCGCCCCGTTACCCGCCCCGTTTAATTTGGATACGGTTACCTGCACCATTACCCGACCCGCACAATTAACTTACATATTTTAATAGTTTATGTATTTATTATTTAATATATTAAGTATATATGAATAGTAGTACATTAGTAAAAAAAGAATAGTAGTGCATTAGTATAATTCCCTCTATTTTTTTGAAAATATTCAACTAATCGACTATCCTTGTAATTCTGAGGAGTTTTGGTGCTCAAAATTCACTATTTTAGATTTTTAATTTTCAATTTCATTCATCATCCTTCCTTTGTTAACTTCTACAAGATTTATTTTCTTCACATATTGATTATTTGATTTTCGTGATTTTCTGTACACAATTTTTTACATTGTGACAATCTTAATTTTTCATCCAATAACTTTCATACAGCTCACATATGAGTTTAAAATTCAAATATTGGGAAACATTACTCTAGATTGCTTTAATTTATGTAATTGTTAATAATTTTGTAGAGGTGTATTGGATGATTAGATTAATTTTGATTGGTTGCTCTAATTTATATCAAGTTTTAAATTTAAATTATGAGGTTTCTAAAACAGTAACTACACGAATACCTAAATCATAGTACTAGAAGTACATTTTTAGAAATAATTCCAAATCTATAATCAAAATATATAAAAGTTGTGAACAAAAATGCGACTCTAATAACTTTAGTGTTTATAATTTTATTCAAGTGTTATATCGTAGTGATCGACTATAAAACTTACCCATGATAACCTATAGTCACATTTATGTCCATATATTTTTTATTAGTAATATTTTAGGAAAAAACTTCTCATTTTCACTATGTTACTTGTATACATTACTGTTCTTAAATTTATATATTGAATGCTGGTGGAGTATGATTATTGAATTTTTGGAAGTTAAATATTTTTGTGATTCATATTTAGATTTTACTATCGAGACAAGACTTAATCTTTTGATGTTGATGTGGTAATAGATTCATAATTTTGAATCTAGACATATATAATTTGTGAATATTAGGTTTAAAAGATTGTACGGAGTAATTTTTTGTGATGTTTTAAAAAACTTTATCTGTGGTGCTATTTAATTTTGATTTTTTTAATTTAGGCGGTGAATAATAAGTAGTTAATCATCATTTTAGGATTTATACTAATTTTGAAGGAAAAAATTATCTTTTAATAAAACAAGTGGTGCTATTTAATTTTGTTTTTTTTTAATTTAGGTAGTCAATTATAAGTAGTTAATCATCATTTTAGGATTTATACTAATTTTGAAGAAAAAAAATTACCTTTTAATAAAACGGTTACCCGCGGCAAACCGTTACCCGCGGGGAAAACCGTTACCCGCAGATAAAAAATACCCGACGGATAATGGGACGGTTTTGAGGAAAAATATTATCAAATGAGATGGGTACGGATAATGGTATACCCGACCCTAGGGGTGGACTCGGGCCGGGCCAACCGGCCCGGAACCGAACCGGCCCGCCACTGTGCGGGCCCGGACCGGCCCGGGAACCGGTTCGTTGGGCGGTTCGGGCCACCCGGCCCGGTGGATTCTCGATTCGGGCTCGGGCCCTTCAAAAGGTGAACCGGCCCGGCCAGTTCGGGTCCGGGCCGGGCCAATTTTAATTTTTTTTTGAATTTTTTTTGAGTTTTTGGGTTGGGCTGGTTATTTTGGGCCATTTGAGGTGGTTAGGGTTGGTTTGGGGGTGAGGGGGAAGGGTGGGGGTTAACTAGGAAAAGCCCCCAAAAAAAAAAAAATACCCGAGGCCCGGCCCGGCCCGGCCCGGACCCGGGGTTTACCCGGGCCGGTTCCGGGCCTCCCCTTCTTGAACCGAGGCCCGGCCGGGCCCAGGCCCGAACCGGGCCCGAACCGGCCCGAGTCCACTCCTACCCGACCCTGAACCGCTCCGTTGCAATCCCTATTGGAGAGCATTCATTGGATGGAGACTTGGAGCACTACTCGGTGAAGGAGAAGATTGACAAAAGATCAAAGAGTATAAAAATGTGTAATCAGTAGAAAATGAAATAAAAATAAAAAATTAAAGCTTTGAGAGGTAAATATAGGACATACAATATATGCTCGAAAGTTCGGAGAAATTGCAAAATACCCGAGAATACAACTTGACCGGGTGTACAGTATAATTTAGAGAACGTTCCCGAAATATGACTAAAACAGTTTCAAAATTCTAAAATAGGATTGTCATGTTTTTTATTCCTAAAATAGGACTAATTACTGTCATGTTTAGAAAATATTACCATGTTTGAAATCCGGTACTACCTAAACATGACATTAATTAGTCCTATTTCGAGAATAAAAACATCACAGTCCTATTTTGGAATTTTCAAACTATTTTAGGCCTATTTCAGGTAATATTCTCTATAATTTATGAGGATGCGGGTAGAAGGAATGAAGTAATGTGATTACCCGCAAATCATAGCCATAATCATGGGACTCGAACTGAACTTGACACTGAAATTCCAGTCCCTGTCATGGTTGACCCCCACTTGGGACCAAGAACCAACAGATCCAAAAACCGGACTCGACACTGAAATTCCAATCCATGTCATGGGTGACCCGCATTTGGGACCAAGAAGTAAAAGATCCACCCTACATTGCAGTGTAATCGGGTCCTCGATAGAGCTTGTGTGTTACGTAAAAGAAAAAGGCGGTGATCTTCATCTGGATGGATCAATAATTTCTTCATAGATAACCCATAAGCGGTTCTCTAATGAGGTGATTAACGACTCAGGCCAGAACTTAAGGAATCAGTTCAGTGGCCATTTTGTTTATTCTGCGAAAAACGTAAAAGGGCTCTATCGAATTACAGGACCTTCCAATCGATAAACCTAACTAACACTATATAACATGATTGGTTATGCACTAAACATGTATTATTTGAGGGCTCTATCCAATTTAAGGGCACTTATCCTTTTCTCTTATCAATGATTTGCCTCTTCAGACCCTCATTCTCCTTCCGTAGTTTCATAATCTTCTGCTTTAGAGAGTCCACATGTCGATTTGAAGTTAAATCTTGCCGAGACTCTACGAGCTCCATGCTGCTGACAAGCACTGAAACAAGCCCCAAACAAAACAAAAAAAAAATCTGTGAGAGATTACAAAAGAAAGCGTAAATTTTTCTCCGTATCTACATACCCTACTTGAGTTTATTAAAGAATAGAAAGGTCAGGAGCTAGGATATATAGGTCGCTTACATTCTTTTTCCAGTTCTTGGACCTTCTTTTTCAACTCATTCTTCTCTTCTTGCTCAACCAAAAGACAGTCCTTCAAGCCCTGAATCTCATACTGATCTGAAGTAAAGGTTCTTAGCTGGAGTGTGATCAGGTAAAATAGAACTAAACTAAACTAAAAAGAAATTATATTAAATGGGACTAAAACATGGTTAAAACTCCAAAATAGGACTTCAAGTTTTAAATTTCCTAAATGGGACTCCACATTACCTTTTTGCCCCTAATCCCTAAATCACCTTTTCCCCAAATCCCTCTGCATCGCTCGCCAGAGGACGCAGCTCAATTGTTCGCAACTCGATCGCAACTCAACCTCCATCGATCGCAAGTTCGCAACTCGACGCTGGCCTATCATCGCAGCTGCCTGCTCGACGCCGGACGCCATCTCCACCAAAATCAGGTATTCTTTTCCTTCTCCTTCTTCTTCTTCTTCTTCTTTTTTCTTCTTCTCCTCCATCTCCTTCTCCTTCTTGTTCTTCTTCTTCTTGCTCTTCTTCTTCTCCTTTTGTAAATGTCATCTTTCTATTCCAAAATGCCAACATTATTTTTAGTTTTTTATCAATCAAATTTTAAATAAAATTTTGAATTGTGAAAGTCATTTCTCTTCATTTTTTATAAATTCCATCTAATTCACTTTAAATCGTTCATACTATTTTTCTCACTAATTGGACCTGCAAATGGAATTATTATTTTATTGAACACTCATTTGAAAAAAATGTCACTGTTTTGACATTACATTTACCAAGATGACAGTTTTTATTTGACATTTATAAAGAGTAAAAATGGCACCAACTTGACATTCTCCACTGCCATGTTTTTATATATGGAAATGTCATCTTCATGACATTTTGGGAACAAAGGTGACATTTTTTTTTACAAAAGAGGGCAGTGGAATCCATCTTACAAGAGATATACAATGGCGATCTTATCTTGCAACTCATGCCAGGCAGCTACGGCGTTCACCTAGGTGGCAGCAATCACCCAGGCGGCGGCAATCAGCCAACGACAGTGGAAGTCTGTGCACTGAAGCCTTGCACAGAGGGTGGTGGTGCCGGCAATATGAAGTTATCGGTGCAACAGAGTAGTCGGAAGTCTAAAGATCATGCGCTAAATTCATTAAGGGCAATTTTGTCCGATCGGTAATTAAAAGTCCTATTTAGGTAATAAAAAACTTAATGTCCTACTTTGGAGTTTTAACCAAGTTTTAGTCCCATTTGGGAAATTCTCTCTAAACTAAACTAAACACCTACATCTAGACTCTACATCAGAAGAGACTTGTTCTAATCTCCTTGATAGAGCTGTGATATGGTTCTTATGCACAGTTAAATCTTGGCGAAGATGTTGACAGACTGCTTCAATTGCCGCCTTTTCAGCCTGTAACTCTCTAGACAAGGCAATCAAAATCTAGCATTACATAAATAATTTGAAGATTTCATTTCTTGGAATTTTGAATTACTTGGTGAAACTCCAATAAAAATCAACTTAAAGAAACTTACCTGATTTGAGATTCCATGACTTGGATCCTCATTGCGTTTTCATGCTTGAGCGAGCCAATAACATTCTTAAATTCCTGATTACAAGTCTCAGATTACTATGGGACGCAAGATTAATGGCAATCATATGTTTTTTATAAAGATTGAAAAAGGCAGTCCGGTGCATATTAGCATCCCCTAAAAGGCAGCTCGGTGCATATTAGCCTCCCCTAAAAGGAAGCCCGGTGCATATTAGCGTCCCCTAAGTTGAGGGTCTGGCGATGGGTCCCACCACAAGGGTATGGTGAGGGGTCCCACCACAAGGGTATGGTGAGGGGTCCCACCACAAGTATCAACAGGGGAGAACCCTTATCATTTTAACAAGAGACGGTTCCCATGATCCTGTAACGTCTTAGTCACATAGCAACACCGTAACCAATGCGTCAAGGCTCCTCTTCTACATAAATCACATAAAGGGCAGCCCGGTGCACATTGGCATCCTCGCAAGGTGAGGGTCCGGGGAAGGGTCCCATCACAAGGTATACAAGGGCCAAGCCTTCTCTTGTCATTTTTGACAAGAGCCGCTCTCAAAACTTGAACCGGTGACCTTCCAGTCACACAGCAACAGCGTAACAGATGCGCCAAGGCTCCCCTTCTCTTCAATCACATGATAACAAAAAAAACTGAAAAGCAAGTAGAAACCGAGTTTATACCAGAGTACACACACATACTATAACATTTGAGATTTTGTAAAGATGTGCGTTAAGGCAATAACTCACATTTTCTTTATGGGAATGCTCATCATTTAATTTTTTCAGTTCATCCTTCAAGATCTGGCAGCTAGTACGGCTTTCAATCTGTCATCTTGTTCAAAAGAATTCAAAGCAAAGTATAGAAAGGTTAACTAAGATCATTATTCACTAGTTGTCATTTTGGGATCATTGAAGTGCATCAATAAAACTGAAAGGGTAACCCTTATAACAATACTAGTACAGTAGTGCACATTGCACTATTACAGTCATATATGTCTAATGGAAAGAAGCGATATAAAAAAATATATGTTCAAAATAAATAAAATAACTCTTTCAAAAAAAACCAATGGATCTATTAGCAAATGTAAAAATATTCATTAGATTTCACTATTGGTCCTACGAGTATCACACCGATTCCACAATTGGTCCACGTCTTTGACTTTGACCACTTTTGGTACATGACTATTGTGATTTCACCCACATATCGTGCTTTCAGCAATAATTCTGGTGGTTAAAATCGCTGGAGAAGGACAACAAATGGTCAAGAAACATTAGTCAAGTATCAAAAGTGGACAAAGTGAAAGACGTGGACTAAATGTGGAAATGACATAAAACTCGTAGGACCAAAAGTGGAATTAATTCTAAAAATATCAAATGGAGATTAAGATGATGTTATTAGCTCTCATAAAATCTCAAAAGAATAACTCATTGGTGTTTTTCTTTAAACATTAATTCTAGTAGGCTAGCCCAAAAGTTATGGGTAAATGCCCTACATAACTAATATAATTGCTATAAAAAAAATCTCTATCAATCTGATACAATGGAGGGTATCTTGGTACTGAAATTTTTGCCTGGTTTTATTTTACATTAATTAGCTGCTGAAGTAGCTTGTTAGTTTTACTTAAATATAGGTGCATGTGCATGTGCATGTATTTCAAGATCATGTATTTTTTTTGTCGGATGTAGTGCTAAGAGTCTTTTGTATTCACTTACAAGCTGGCATTAATAAAAATGCAGAAGAAAATTACCCCCATTAGTTAGTAAAGCTGGTTTGAGACAGCTTAACATCTCTCCCAGGAGATTCGGGAGATTCATGTTAGATTATGAACACAATTGGATTTTACACGATTTGTAAGACTTGTTTAGGAAATCTGGACCTGATCTGTCAATTTGTTAAGTGACTCTGCATAACTCTTTCTCAGGCGCTCATTTTCTGCATGAAAAAATAAATAAAACAGAATTATGCTTGAAAGTATACGCATGAAACAAAAATAGACTGAACAAGGATAATGAAGGTTTATTGTATGAAATAAATGATATACAGTGATCATTGGTCCATTGAACATTTACATCCTGCGCTTTGAAGTAAACATATAGCATGTGAAAAAACATATGTAGTATGTATTAAACATACTAATTGCTGGAGAAGGACAACAAATGGGTGTTTGGCAAACACATGACCCCCGTTTATTAATTATTTAAACAGTACCTTTAACTCTTTTTATAATTGCTGCATTGCCCCTGAACATTAGCATAAAATTTATTTATTTCTACATGTACTCTCGACCTCAAACAACCTTTGCACGCCACCAAACACCAGCTAGCTGGTTGCCACTGTTATCGGCGGCATCCATAACTAAATGTTTGCGCAATTGATCACCACCGTCCACCGATGTCAGTCACCACTGACCTCCAAACCGCCAATGGCCCCCACCTCAATCGCCACAACTGTTGGCATCCACCGCCAGTGGTGGTCACCATCACCATGGCAGATGTTACTGCCGCTGGTACTCAGACATCACTTTTGTGACTGCCACTACTACCACTTTGCCAACTGCAATCCCTATTGATCCTCACCATCACCACTTGACAGTTGCCACTATCACCCCGGTTGTCACCACCCTTAGTCACCACCGGTTGCAAACATAGTTGACCACCACCACCAATTGTGGCCAACATTATCATCGACTACCAATGCCACTGGCTGCCACAATTGTATACGTAGACAGCCAGTGACTGGCACATTCTTCAGTCGCCACCTGCACTGGTTGCCACCACCACTATCATCATCATTGGCCGCCACCAGCTCACACCATTGTCAACATCAGTGTCTGCTATCAACGTCAAGAACAGACACCAATCACCACTGTTGCATGTGCTAGCCACCATCATTCCAAACCAATACCAAAATTCACGGGCAAATATGTTATTCATTTTTTTTGGAAGAATGTGACTTATATTGAATAATCAGAATTCAGGCAAGATACAAAAAGACAAAAAGTCCCTTTCCAATCGCCTGCCATCGAACCAAACTCAGAGTCTATCACCTCAAGAAAAAAGCAGTATGACTCGTTGATCCTATAATGAGCTTAACTGGGCCAATGACGGGCGCAATAGACCTTTCATCACCCAACCTAAACTCTAGAGTTTTGCTATTAGAAATAAAGAAAACAATCAAAACAACATTTAGTTCAAAATGTAAAAATAAGAGCAAGACAATTAAAATAAAGCTGCCTCCTCATAATCACAAGGATACAGATCATGTACCCTCCGGGGTACAACCGCTGGGGTACAACCGTGTGTGCCAAATCCAAACTTGAAACAACATCTTCCAAACCCTAATCACACGATTCCTCCACGGCGGCAGTTCGAGAGGGGGACAGCCTGGCAATACTGCATCTTCTTCCTCTCCTTGCTCCTTATTCATAACATTCTCTGTCATTCCATTAATAAGCCTATTGCAGCCACATAGCCCTATTTTCGAATCACAGCAGTTGTTGCCAAAGCAAAACGCAAAATCAATCAAGTTTCCACCCCGTGAGAACATCTGAGTGGCACCAACACTGGAATTCTTGTGCCCTCAAAAAGGAAAAAACCAGAAGCAAGAGAAATTCGACCGAGCTTCGTACAAATTGAATCGGCGGCCGGAAAAGATCAATCCTAACTCAACCGAAGAGGAACAAACCAAAGCGCCGCACTAACTAATTGGCGGACGAATAAACAAACCCTACCATACGGAGGGAACCATGACAGCTGTATGTATTACAACAAAGCTTTAAACAAAGTGAAGTACTTAGAAATAACAAACAGCGAAGCCAGCGCACAAGTACTCGACAAACAAGGGGAAAACAAAATCAGGGGAAAACAAAGAAACATGCCCGACCCCAAACAAAGACCAAACCAGCTTCAACTCTGGCCGTCTAATTCTGTGCAAGACAGTCCAATCAAGCGTGATCAAAGACCAGCGGCTGCCGATTGTGCCTTAGGGTTTCTCTTAGAAAGAAAGCTTTTAGGGCAAATATGTTATTCATTTACTATTTAAGTTATGATTTAATCATGGTGAGGTAATGTATTTTTTTATTATTGAGTCCATTATCCCAATGAAATTAACAATTATAATATTTAAGATGCACCGTATATTAAGCATTAGATCATTATCGGACAAGGGGGGGAGATCTTGGCTTAGGAGTGGAAGGTGACGATTAGTCCTTGCTCAACCTTGAATTCCCACCCAGCTGCCATTACAAGGGGAAGCCTTTGGGTGGTGCTATACTGAAAACCTGCTATGAAAGGAAGATTTTTTGATCCTGCTTAACACATGTGAGTTGCGTGACTTTCACTAAGGAGATGTGTGAGCCCAGTTAATGAATGAGTTGATTGCCTTACTGAAGTCCCTCACTTTACTTAGTAAGCATTGCTTAGTGACGCTTTCAAACCCAACTGTGAGGAACTCTCCCAGCATAAGACTTTCATGACCATTGTTATCCCTGAGACATCATGTAGTACTCAACTACTCAACCTTCACAATCAAATTTCTAATAGATCCTTGACTTTGGGGCCACTGATCCCATTTCAAATAACCAATCTCTTTTCACAAGTATTTATTTCTCAAGTTCACTTCCATACCTTTTTTCAAGGGTCAAAAGGGAAGGTTCTAGGGATAAAAGAAGTTGCTCTATTTTTATATGTCTCTCATGAGTTTGGGATAGTTCAAGATAGACAGGAAGGACAACAGGAAGTTAGAAACGTGCCTTATTCAAAGGGATTCACAATTTATCTTGTCCAAACAATTGAGTAGACAGGTATAGGCAGTCTTACCCATGTTTTTGCAGACAGTGTGTTCTACCTTGACCAAACTAGTTAAAAAGTCATGTAGCAAATACAGTTTTCAGATTCTGTTTCTTTCTTAGAATAAAATCCCCCCTCCTTCAGTGAGCTTCTTATTCTGATAATTAATAGAGAAGGTAATTATATCTATTGGTTTGCATAAGAAAGAATAATACTAGTGTATTGCACAGTTGGCTATGTCATGCAGGAATCTAGGGAGCAATTGTAAAAAGAAACTGCATCTTCGCTTTTCAAGACTATGTGTGCTAACTGCTAAGCAAACAAAAGCAATTGCTCTGGTCAAACACAGGTGATATGATAGCTCATAGCATATTAAAAAACACTTTTCTATGCATCAAAGTTATCCTTGAATAAACCTAAACCTGGGGTTGAGGCATTGAGCTACCCAGCCTTTAGCTCAATTGATGCTAAGTCAAGCTCTTATTCATCTCACTTAAGCCAATGTTTTGCCACTAATACGGCAATAGTGCAGAGATTATATGCTATTATGCTTACCTTAATTTGAAGCCAAAGCCTATAAATATTCCACCACCTCTCCCAATCCCAGTAGGTGAAGTTGTGAAAAAGACAGGAGCATTCCACTTATTCCCACTTCTTTGGTATGACAAGTAATCATAAGAAATGATCAAAGAGTCAACACTAATGACTAATGACAAAAAACTAATAAATAAAGTGAAATTTTCCTTGAAAATGTTCTGTCCCACAAAAGTTGAGCCACAACAAGCAAATCAAGCACAACACACTTTAATTGTGCAAAGTGAAAACAAAAACAAAAACAAGGCAACAACAACAACATTCAATCCTAGTCCCCAAAGAGTAATTGTGCAAATCAAAGCATGAGATAAAATTGAAAATGACATGAACATTGAACACTAAGTCTTTAAAATACTTGTTCATTAACGACAGGCACACACTTATCACATCACAACCCATTAACTAGTCAAGGTCATTCCAAAACAAGATGGAATATGTACCTAAATATAAAAATTAAAACAGTGAATATAGAACAACTCCAGTACTCCACCTATTCGTACTGCTACTAGAACATGGTGAACTTTGAGTTTCAATGTTAGGAGGATTTATTTGTGGAAACTCCAAACTCCCAATTAAGTTATCATTATTGTGATCAGTAAGGATTGATACATGTAAAATTAATTTGGCGAATTAATTTTACATTCTGAACTGGATAGCGTGAAAGAAACTGGGATCGGAAAATGATTTAGAACCAACCAGATTGAAGGCTATTCATTCTGAACTGGATAGCGTCACTCTTCTTCACTTCCGCGTTGTATTTCGATTTCAAACTTTGAATGTCCTCAATCGTGCTCTTAAAATCCTGAAGTTCGAATTTAAACCGCACAATAAATAACGGGAAGTAAACTCAAACGTGAACGTCACACAGGTCAAATGGCATACGGCATAAATCTGATCGAAGCTGGAAGTTATGGAGAGGATCACTTCCTCGCTATTGGTCTCCATTGTAGTGAAGATGGACTGATGGACTGGTGGTGAATGGTGATCTAAGCGGGAAGTGCAAACAGTGCTACACTGCTACCTGCTTACAACCTAAAAAAAGTTGGACAAGTGTTTTCTTTAAATATTACTAATAACAAAAATGATTTTTGTACACAATTTTATACACACTTTTGTACACACATGTGTTTGTGAAAATTATTTTTTGTCTGTGAACAGACAATGTTTTGCACAAACAAAATATTGTCTGTGAACCGGGTTCACAGACAAAAAAAAACTTCACAAACATGGTGTGTATAAGGTGTGTACAAGGGTGTGTACATCAAGAATGGTTGTACTAATAAAAATGTTAGGGACAAAAATGTGACTGCGTAATTATTAATAATTATAATTCTGCTTAAAGCTTAGATCATGGTAACTTACTTTGATGGGAAAATTTTATAAATAGGACCAAAGAGTCATCCAACTTTCACAAATAGAACAATCGGCAGTTCTAAGACATTAAGTAAAATGCAATGACCAAAATAATCTCAATTAAAAGATAAAAACTCAACCGCCCATCCACGTGCTCTCTTCCACTCTTTCCGCAAAAGGCTTCACCGCTAAAACTCAACCGAACATAACACAACTTCCTCTGAAACGACGAAGGCTTCACCGCTAATCACCACAGGGCCATCACCACCGCCGCTAATTTCACCATTACCAGTGACGAAATCATCGTCGTCGACGCACCAGATAGCTGTTCCAGTTGATTTCATCAGATGCCACAGCCAGAGGTTTCTCTTTCTTCCTCCTATTCTTCTTCTTTTTCTTCTTCTCCTTCTTTTCTGATTTTGGACATTGATTTTGCCAATTTCGAACTTCTATTTCATATTTTCACAAGGCCACCAGGTACTCTGCAAAACTTTTGAAGAAACCATATCCAAAATCAGACTTGCAAACGCTAGACAATATATAGACAATAAGTAGTCACTAAACAGACAATAAGTTCTGATAATAACTCAATAGCAGACATTAAGTTCTGACTACATAGACAATAAGTAGTCATTAAACAGACATTAAGTTCTGATAATAGCTCAATAGCAGAGCAGGTGACGTAAAACTGGGAGGATATTGAACTTGACCTTGAAATTGGGAGGACGGAGCTTATTAGGATCATCACAGGGAGGATATTGAACTTGATTTCATGGAAATGGGGGGATATGGGAGGAGTTGCTGGAATCCAGATAGGAAGGGTAGGAGTAGTTCTCCATGGCCGTGATTGTTGCGGAATTGATTTTTCGGACTTTGTGTGTGTTTAGGGATCCGGCGATGACGGGCGACGACCTCTCTGGCGGTGACGGCGATGAACGACGGTGAACTGAGATGTAGCCTGCGATGAAGCGATTCGTTGATTAAAGAGACAAAAGAACGAAAGAGGTTGCTGAAGGGTTCAGCCGTTGCTGAAGGTTATTGGGCTTTTAGTATGCAGCCTAACGTGGAGGGTAAAAACGTAAACCAAAAAATAAGTTTCCTAAAACAGAGCTAAATAAAGCATACGGATGGAAAAAAACTAATTAAGTCCTAATCTTGTAAAGTTTGTATGATTTAGTCTTATTAACAACAATTTTCTCTACATTGATCCGTGTTTATAAGGCGTGAAGAAGAAAATAAATTTACAAAATATATTATACAAGTTTGAGCCTAATTTGTACTCCCTCCATCCCGGTCATTTCTTCCGATTTTGACCGGTATCGCAGATTTATGCAAATTTATAAAGGGGTTGACTTTCCCCTTATACCCTTGGCCGAATGGGGTAAATAAATGGGTAAAAGTTGAGGTAAAAACTTTAATAAAGTGGAAAAATGATTAAAAGTAGATTGATCGGCATGTGAGGAGTAAAGATTATTCACATTTGGCTAAAACTTGCATACATTGAGGCATCAATCCAAAAAAAGGAGGGAGATTACTTTTTGGTTCCTTACATATACTACTCCCTCCTAATTCCCTACTTACACACACACACTTCCATCACACACTCCACACACACGCACACTTACAGACACTGCGCACACTGAAAACAAAAAAAAACAACTTGCATGGCTGCAATATCTTCCACAACTGCAGCTTCTTCTTCATTTTCTTCAGCTTCTTCCACACCAGGACCCCTAGACCTGCAAATAGTAACAACCCATGGTCATGGTGCTGCAGTGGGGAAAAAAGGCTTTCAAACAGTGAAAAGAGAGAGCATAACACATGTATTCTTAATGTCCAGTAGGAGGGATTCTTTGGGGTACTTGAAAGCTCAGAAAGGTATTTTTGTCATACTTGCTGAAGAGTATGAAGTGTCCAGAAGAACTATTCCTGACATTTGGGACACAGTTAAAAAGCAAGTTGTACAAGGTGATGCAGTAAATGTGTGTAGGAAGTACCATGACAAAAAAGGATAGAATTTGATCTATCTCAGGTATCACATATCCCACTGTATAAAAGGACTACCATAAGGTCATTAGCAGTTGACACCTCAATATCAAAGTCAAGTGTCCACAGATTGGTTCAAAGTGGACAATTACATGCTAACACACAATGCAAAGGATAGGATGCAGTCAGAAGGGATACTTCCAAAAACAATTGAGCTAGATGTTCAATTATTGGAAGCATCAAAACAGATTCTATGGCAACAAACAGGGGATACTGAAAGTCAGAGGAACTTCATAATTGAAGAAGATGATGATCATCATCATCTTCAGTGATGAAGTACATGCTCAGACATAATAGGCCTTTAATTTTTTGTTTTTTGTACAAACCTTGATTTTGAAGGACAATCAGGCATTTAGAATTAGTACTAACATGCTCAGACATTTTGTAATACATGCTGCATACTCAGACCTTTTGTAAAAGTACAAGCATAGTCAGACATTTTGTAATAGTAGAAGCATAGTGATCTAGCAATGGTCATAATGATTTCATCATTTTGGGACAAGAACAACACACTCAGACCTTATGAATAACTACAACATCAGCATACACACCACACACAAGTACTAATCATCATATGGTACTCAATAAAGTACCATATCACATGGATCATGATCATCATAGTATGCATAAAGTACCACATCACAGGATCATGGTCATCACAGTATGCTTAAACTACCAAAATACTTTCATATGCTCATCATAGTATGCAGAAAATAACACATCAGAGGGTAATATCACAGCCTAATGCTTTCATCATAACATACCACACAGAATGAACCAATACAATAATCACACTGTGCAGTAAAGAACCAGTACACACAAGATCTACTCTCATCACAGTATGGATAAAGAACCAGTACACACAAGGTCTACTTTCATCACAATATGCATAAAGAACCAGTACACACAAGGTCTAGTTTTATCACAGTATGCAAAGGGATAGTTTCATGACAGTATGCATAAAGGACCAGTACACACAAGGTATACTTTCATCACAGTATGCCTAACTACCATTTATAATACCAAACCACCATGTACAACCCACATGCATCACAATAAACACCAATAAAACAATTTTTCATCATTGCTTCCCCCAAAATTCACACAATGGACATAGAGTACGAATTAAACCATAAACGAAGATAAGGTATAGAAGAAACTCCCCTAATCCGTGTCCACGTCCCACATCCTTGTTTCCCATTTTGGCAAAATTATTTTTAGGAACTCCTCCAGTCGGGGACTTCTCCGAATAGGATGCATGTCAATGTCTTTGCGTCTTTTAAGCCGATTTGGGTTCACCGTCTCCCCCCGACCTCTGCAGGCTTCTCGCTTACATCCTCGGGAAGCTCTTCTTCACTGTCCGGGATGATGAGGAAGACATCCTCTTCCAGGGAGTTCTGATTCATGCACCTCGGATGGAGTACCAATACAGGGTCATCTGTGTCCAACGCCACCGCTTCCTCCGGAAGAGCACCCTCTTCATTGTCAGGGACGATGAAGTGTTCAATATTCTTCATACTCAAAGTATTAGGGTTTAGATCCATAAAAATGCGAGAGAGGGGGAGGCAGAAGGGTAGATAGATTTATAGAGGGGAGATGGAGGAAGTAAATGGGAGAGATGGTTGGAGTAATTGAGAGAGACGGATGCAGTGACAGAGAAAGAGGAGGTGGTGGGAGTAAATGGGAGAGAGGGATGCGGGTGGGAGTAAATGAGAAAGAGAGAGGGATGCGGACGGGTAAAAAGGGAAGGGGAAGGGGAAAAGGTTTTTTATTGGGGAGGGTAAAATAGAGTTTTTAGTATGGGTTGATTTCCTTTTTAGGAAAGTTGGAAGAATTAATTGGGACGGCCCAAAAGGAGAGGTGGAAGAAATGACCAGGACGGAGGGTGTACTTTGTTTGATATATATAATTTTTAAATGTATAAGAAGTGCAAATACAAAATGATATATTGTTTTTTACTACTCTGTATTAGATTTCATATATGATGGACAGTGTACCCGGGGGTAGCTTATCTGAGGGGTTACTGCGGGGAGTAACTTAGAGAGAAGTCAGAGCGAATGAGTAAGAGAGAGAGTCAAATGTATTAAATGAATTCGGTGTGTCTTACAAAGGGAAAAAGGGCTGATATTTATAGTAGTAATAAATGCTAGATGGGGACACGTGTCAGCATTCTAGTGGTCGAGGGGTCACCTCAACTGGGGTGGCGCTGGCACTCGCATGTGGTCGCATTAAATGCGGTGGTTGGACGCGACGTTTGTGCTTGGTACGGTGATCCAGCGCATGTGGAGAGGAGATTCTGTCGAGGAAGATGCCTTCGGCTGTAGGTGACAGGCCGAAGGCCTTTCGTGCCGAGGGCCTCCTAGTACCGAGGGCTCCTATTCCGAAGGCTTGGTTTTTGAGACTTGTTCTCCTGTGATGTTTCTGAGCCCGATTCTGTCACTGGTAGCCTTCAGCCATGGGGTCGAAGACACCCCTTCATGTATCGTGGGCTGCTTAGAGTTCCATCTTGTTGGGCTTGGCTTGCTTGGGCCTGTTAGGCCTGATTGTAATAGTGGAAGTATGTGGGTCGGGGGTCCCTGGGCCATATACTCCATCAGGAGTCCCTCACTCCTTTTGCCAAAACGTACTTGAGGGAAAAGGAGTAATTGTGTTGGTGTCAGTGTTTGCTTTGTTGCAGTTTGTCAACCTGTGAGAGATCTGCGTTTGCACACGATTTTGCCGAGGGCAGTCCTTCAGTCCCCCACATTTTGAAGGATTATGTGACTTTGCATTTTTGTGATTTTCCCAGGAGGGATCTTGCAGTCCCCCACTCCTTGAGGCACATGTAATGTCGTGAAGAGGAGTATAGCAGTGCCTGTCTTTAGTATGTGGCCGAGGGCTGACTATTTTCGCTTCATTTTGGGGGGATGCCTCATTAAAAACCTCATTAGAAAAAACCCTGTGAGAAAATTTTCTAATGAGGGAAAAAGAGTGCACCGAATTCCCCCAATGATGAATCGAAAAAATTAACCCTTGGTCTGAGTATAAATACAATGCCGAAGGCTGCCCTTTATTTGGGGGCTTGCTCGTTGATTTGCCGGAGGCATCCTTTCGATATCCTGGTGATACCGAGGGGAGTCCCTCAGTCATTGGGGCTGAAGGTGTGTTGTCATAGGTGATCGTTCACGTGTTGCCGAGGGGGTTTCTTAGCTCTTGATAAGTTGGAGGGTGAGGGGTCCCGAGGGGATCCGTTATTTTATGCCGGAGGCTACCACTGATGAGGGGGTTCGTAGGTGTGGCGCCGGGGGGTTTGCTCAGTGTGACCCCGGGAGGTTCCCTGGTTCCCCACCATGTCGGGGGCTAAGGGGTTCTGAGGGGTTTTCCCATTCTGAATCCGGGAGCTCCCCTTGATGAAGTAGTAGAAGGAGTTATCCTGAAGGCGTGCGTAGTTTTGTCTGAGGGGTGCCAACTGAGGGCGTTCTTGTATCCTCAAAATATAGCCGTTGTAATATGACCGTTGGAGAAGGCGTCCACGTGGCGTGTTCCCGTTGGCTGTCCGCGGGCGAGGTCACCGGTTGGCTGAAGCGACGGTGTGTAATGATGATTTTTCTCTTGAGGGCTCAGTTTTCGGCCCAAGTCCGGATTGGGGGGGCTATAAATACCCCATGGCCAACGCTATTTTCCCTTACGCATTCTTGTTGTAGCGAAGCCCTGGCAAAAAAATTCTAGAGAGAGAAATTATCCTTCAATCCAATCCCCATTTCTGAGGTTAGTTCTTCCTTTGTTCTACGTACTTGTTGTATACTTTTCTCCCTTGCCTTTAGATTAAGTGTTATAGCTCCATAGGAAACCCACGGATCTTAGAACTCTTCTACTCTTATTCTTCAAAAATGTCGTCCCAAAGTGACTCTCAAGACATCTCCGGGGAGCCTTCAGTTGGGCACGAGTCTTGGTCGGATGGGAGCTCATCGAACGAAGGGTCGACGCCCCGTGGTGATTCCGCTGTAGCCCTGGAGGTGCAGAAAGATATGGTGGCAGAAGTCGAGGCGGAGGACTTCAAACAAGTTATTGAAGATGAGGAGATGGCCCTTTCCATGCAGACGGCCCAGGAGGAGGAGGAGAAAGAGAGGCAGAAGGTCACTGTCGCCCTCCTCCCTGCATGCAACGCTGGTGAAGCCAGCACCTTCCGGCCCCTTAACCCGATGCCGCTCAGAGTGGCCCCCGAGGAGAAGAACAAGAAGAAGATGGGGGCCCCCAAGAAGAAAGGGGGCGCTGTCGACCAGGGGAAACCTATGGGGATTCCCGAGGGGTATTCATGGCTGAATACTGCCGCCTTGGCGATAAACTCTAGAGCTGACCCGGCTGAATGCTACGTTACACAGCTGCACGTAGGGCCTTCGGCGACGGTGGTACAACCGGGGCCTGATGATGTGCTGTCCCGGGCGCCTGAGGGGTGTTTTGCTATGCACATCCTCTCTGTCTCAATGGGCCTCCGGTTCCCATTGCACCCCTTCCTTCTGGAGTACCTCAGGTACGTTGGCCTAGCCCCCTGCCAACTCACCCCAAATAGCCACTCCTATATCACTGGTTTCCTGAATCTCTGCGAGTCCCGGGGGCACTCCCAGCCTTGATTTATTTTTCCAAAGCTTCAATCTCTATCGGGGGGGGTCATGCGAATGCCGAGGGGTTCGCGAACCTGCAACAACTCGCCCCGTGGAGGCTCTTTGATGATGTGCCCTCGTCTCACAAAGGCTAGAGGGATCGCTTCTGCTATATCAAGATGGCGGAGAACCCGTTCCCGAGGGAGCTGAGGAATCACTTCCGGAGGCATATAAAGATGGAAGGTTGCGCTGCTCTCGAAAAGGAGGGGAAGAAGATATCTGCTCTCCCAGTGGGGCGGGATAAACATGTGACGGTCAAGGAGATGACCCTCGAGGATGACCTGTACCTCTTCGGCTTTCGGCGTTATCGCTTCCTGGGGGAAACAGATGAGAAGTACCCCATTCTAGAGCGAGCCTTCGAGAGCACAGGAGGTAGTTTCCGGGGGCTCCATTTTTGGCACTTAGAATTTTTGTAACTTTTATTTTTCTTTTGTCCTGACCCCTCTGCCTTATTTACTTGTGTTGTCTTGCAGGTACCAACATGGACATCAACTGCTTCGCCGCCTTGAAGAAACAGAAAGCGAAGGGCCATGGCAAAAAGGAGCCCAGTAAGCAGAAGCCCCTCGGGGAGTTTTTGAAGAGGGGTGGTGAGCCCTCGGACGAAGCTGCCAAGAGGAAGGCAGCGGGCAAGGGTCCCGCCCCCGAAGGGAAGAGGTCCAAAAAGGGGGACGCCGGGCAGAAGGCTCCCCCAGTCGTGATCGTGGATGAGCACTTCACCTCCGAGCCCCACGTTCTGGTGGCCACGACTACTTTGAACCTTCCCCGGTACAGAAAGGTGAAGAAGGCTTGCCCCGAGAGGACATACAGTTTTCCCTCCTGAAGGGGACCGCCATCCTGCATGGTACTGTGGACCCTCGGGAGTTCTTGGATGGGGCCACTCCTTCGCTGGATAGGACGGCCCTCGGCAGGCTTGATGATGAGGCCCTCGAGTTTAAGATCCTTTGGTCCTCCCTCACTGTACGCTTCTCCTTTCTTGCATAATAGTCTAATTCCTTTATCTGTTGCATAATAGTCTAACTCCTTTATCTGGTTGTTAACAGGCTTGCATAGCCCTCGGTGAGCATGCCAGAAGGTTTGATGAATGGCGCCTCCAGAGGCGCAACAAGATGAAGCCATGAACAAGCTCATCCATGATAATGCAGACGCCGTGAGGCAGATGGCCCGGCTAGAAGAGGACCTCCGGCAGGCGAAGGCTGAGGCAGAGAGAGCTGCAAAGGAGAGAGCTGAAGCTGAAAGGGCCGCTGCTGAGGGCGCGAAGAAAGCCGCTGAGGAGGCCAAGGCAGAAGCTGTCGCCAGTGCGATTGCTGCCTTCATCGCCGAGGGGTGGAGGGGCGAAGGCCACAAGGACTGGATGGCTTCGGTGGTGGAGGTGTCTGTTTATGGGTGGGTGAAAGGCCTCGGGGCGATGTGGCTAGCCCACAAGGGCGAAGATTATTGTGTTGGGGAGAGTTCTTCACACAGGCCCTCGTCTACAGAAGGCTGGCCCACCACTTGAAGATTGAGCCGAAAGCTTTTGACCCAGCGGCATATGGCCTTCCTCCCATGCAGCCGGATGTTCGCGTGCCCCTTCCCACAGACTTTGAAAGGCCGGATTTGGAAGATTCTGAACTGATGAAGGCGGCCGAGGATGAAGAAGAGACCAGAGGGGGCGTCTCCTCGAAGCCTGTCGAGGGGGTGCTGCTGAAGCTGATGATAATCCTATTCTTGTATAATTTTGAATAATTTTTTGTAATGAATATGTACGATCCTTTGGCTTCGGCCACTCTGTAACAGAACTCCTTTGGTTGTACTCCTTTCTGAATATGCATGGATGCCTTCGGGCTTTGTGATGTATGAAATTGCTTTTCTTTCGATGAATTCCTTTTGTGTTATTCCTTGCTTTCTTTCCCTTCGTGCATGAATGTATGTTTGGTTAAACGTTTTGCCGAGGGCCCAACATTTAGGACTTAGAAAAATTTTCTAATGGTTTGTTCAGTGCTAGGGCCTTGATTGATGCTTCCTTCTGAATTTGGGTAGTTGTCATGACTTGATCGAGGGCCAAAAATTTAGGACTTAGAATATTTTTCCAAGTGTTTGTACAGTACTAGGCCTTCGGTCAATGCTTCCTTCTGAACTTATGTAGATGTCATGAATTGTTCGAGGGCCAAAAATTTAGGACTTAGAATATTTTTCTAAGTGTTGCTTACAACTTGGCCTCTGGTTGATATCTCTTTCGTGTGCCTTGTGTTGTGTGAGTTGTAAGCCCTTCTTCGTTGGTGGCCGGGGGCTAATAGTTCAGGGCTTAGAAAAATTTCGAAGTTATGGTCACTGTTGTGCCCTCGGCTTGTGTCTCCATTTAGTCACGAGTTGACCGAAGACCTAAGATTCAGGACAGACGTTTTTCAAGTGTAGTTTTACCATTGAGCATTCGGTTGTATGTTGAGTTGACCGAGGGCCAATCACGAGGGGATCTAAAATCTGGGCTCATTCATCTACTTCCCTCTTTCCATGATCTACGAGGGGAAGATCCGAACAAACACTTGTCAGAGTTCCATATTGTGTGCACAAGCATGTGCCCAAATGGGGTCACCGAGGAGCAAATCAAGTTGAGGGCTTTTCCATTCTCCCTCAAAGACACGGCTAAGGATTGGTTATTCTATCTCCCTTCAGGGAGTATAGATACATGGGCGTCAATGAAAAAATGCTTCCTAGAAAGGTACTACCCTGCATCCGTCTCATCATCTTTGAAAAAACAAATAAGCAACATCGAGAAAAAACATGATGAGACATTATATGAATATTGGGAGCGTTTTAAAAAATTGTGTGCTAGTTGCTCATACCATGGTTACACAGAGCAAGACCTCATCCTCTACTTCTATGACGGTCTTGCGGAGCAAGATAGACGCTTGGTAAACGCAGCATCTAGAGGGGGAATTTTCAACAAAACCCCTTCCCAAGCTAGGAATCTCATTTCGGGGTTGGCCGAAAACTCGAGACATTACAACGGGAGGTCATCATCAAAACGAGTCATGGCAGCAGAATCCAACAATTCCTTAGAAAGTCAAGTGGCCGGCTTGACTTCTTTGGTAAAAGATTTTCTCTTAAATCCGAAAAACCCAAGAAGCCAAGTTCTGCGGCATATGCTCAACACAGGGGCATCCCACTGATTCCTGCCCGACGCTACAAGAAGAGAACTCCGAGCAAGTCAATGCTTTGGGGTTCCAAGGTCAAAGAAGGTACGAGCCCCAAGGCAATACTTACAACCCGAGATGGAGAGATCATCCAAATTTAAGGTACACAAATTCTCAACAACAAACAAACCCTCCTCCTCAACAATATAAACAACAAGGCCAAACATCAAATTCGAGTATGTCCACCGAAGACATGATTCGAGCACTGGCCGTTAATATGCGAACAATGCAGCAAAGCATGGGGCAATTCCAACAAACCATGATGCAATTCCAACATGAAACCAAGTCGAGCATTCAAAATTTGGAAACTCAAGTTAACCAAATTTCAGGTTTCATAAGTCGACTTGAAGCAAAAGATTCGGGTAGGCTCCCTTCCCAACCTGAGCAAAATCCAAGACAACATGTCAATGCAATCACGTTGAGGAGCGGTAAAGAATTGCAAACACGGGAAGTTGAGGGGGAGAAGCAAGAGGTTGATCTTGAAGAAGGCTTTCAACCGGAAGAGGAAATACCAACGAAAACTAAATTCCCTCCACTTTCATCTTATGAGCCACTCCCTCCGTTCCCTGAGGCATTGAAAGACACGAGGAAGCTGAAGAATGATCAGGACATCTACGAGACCTTCGCCGATTCTGAGGTAAACATCCCACTCTTCAAACTGATCAAAAGTGTTCCCCGTTATGCAATGTTCTTAAAGGAACTATGCACAATGAAAAAGAAAAATAAACTGGAAGGGAAACACCTTCGGGAGCCTTCTGAAAGTGTTGACAGGCAGCACACCTTCGGGCGAGATCCGCACAGTCTCGAGCCATCGTAGGTCAGAAATATCCTTGGACTATGAGCCTTCGAGACATGGAGAAAGGTCCCTGGTGAGCTGAGCAAGTGCCACTGTGCACTTCTTCCATCGTGACTTCGGCCTCATCTTGGTGAAGGCACTAGAGTAGCGTGCCGTTGTAGGAGCGTTTATAGAGCCTTCCATCTTTGAGGGTATAGCTAGGAGCCCTCAATCTTGGTAGTTTGGCGCGGGCTTCATCCTCGGGCAGTTGCCCTGTGGTGATGAAGGCCATGATGTTACGCCCTAGACCGCATCCGAGCCACGTAGACAACCGCCGTACAACCCAATAAGAACAACATTATGTCATCCTTATTGAATCATACAAGGCGTCTGATAGATTCTAATGCCAAACCGATTAGTAAACTCATACAATCAACATCAATATCAAAATCAACGAATGTGGAAATAATATGTTTGATATTTAGCCACACGTGGCAAACATGAGCACGCAGGCCCCAACTGTTTAAAGGAAAACATTGTTCAAATATCCATGAGCAGTTTATAAATTTTAAATAAGAATGGAAGCACGAACCACGTCTTCCTTTTTGATCAGTCACCCTAGGCAAAGGTGCAGGTAGTAGGACTCTAGCCTTAACCTGAAAAATGTGAGGGCCCTCGGAGGGGTCAGTACTCCATAGAAGTACTAGTGACAAGCAGGCTATATGAAGAATAGCTAATGTTTCAGACACGAGACCCAAAAATAGGGTGATACATATATATATATATATATATATATGTGTGTGTGTGTGTGTGTGTGTGTGTGTGTGTGTGTGTGTGTGACTCATCCACCCAATGATACATACTGTATATATATTTGTAAAATACTCAACCCCTAGGTCATTTCATTTAAAGAGTCTTTTAGAGATAAAGTTCTTACCTGACTTTTCTCACTCCTTTCCCGGATGCCTAGCTCACAAGCTATAGTCTACCTTCGATTCATACTACTGAGTGTTTTAGGATCATTTACCGTCCAAGGCACTCAACCCAACCTGGAGTATTTAGGATCATTTACCGTCCAAGGGCACTCAATCCCACCTGGAGTATTCTGGATCATTTACCGTCCAAGGGTACCCAATCCTACCTGGAGTATCTGGATCATTTACCGTCCAAGGGTACTCAACCCCACCTGGAGTATTCTGGACCATTTACCGTCCAATGGTACTCAATCCCCGATCTATATTCTACCAAATCCTAACCTGGATGTGGCTAACGTTTCATTCCTTCGACTATGGACAATACCTAGCCCTATAGTCGTATAATATTCCTTACTAATCAACGTGGACAGTTCTCACCCGAATGCCCCTCGTTATACTCATTCAAAACTGACCGTTGGGTGTGAAACCCAATACTCGATCGAGTATCTACCTATACTCGGTCGAGTATAGGAGACAGTAACCCCCTGGGACGAATTTTCAATGCATACCCGATCGAGTATCTACCCATACCCGATCGGGTATAGGAGACAGTAGCCCTTGGCATGAATTTGCAGCAAATACCCGGTCAGGTACTTGCCCATACCCGGTCGGGTAAAGCAGTTGACTTGGCGGTCAACGCCTGTTTGACCGTCCAAACGGAGTCCGATTAACGTGAAATTTTACATGCAAGTACTCTTTGACGTCCTTAATCCAAAAATACCTATTTGGGTCCCTGGAACATCATACATATCAATTTATGATAATTTCACTAATCAAGCCTACAAATCATGTTTTCCAACTATGTTATATTCTTTAACATAACCTAACACATGCTTTAATACCATTAATCAATCCACAAAACACATTCTTGGTTAATTTAGGTAATATCATGCCTCAATCAAAAGTTATAAAGCATAAAGCCGTCTTCTCACCTTAAATGAAGCTTATGAAGTTCTAGCCTTCCTTATTGAGCTCCGGTGAAACTCCGGTGAACTACAACGAACTCCGGCGACAATTCCGGCGACCATTTCAACTCCGTGAAAGTTCCTTGAATACCTTAGATAAGTTACTGACAAGGTTTTATCATCATAAAACCCATGTTAATACGAATAACCTCTAAAAGGTTATTTTCCGGCGAACCGATCACTTTGTCTTCTAAGTCCGTTCTTGGACTTAGAACTACCTTCCAACCCCTCATTCTACACTTCCAAACATGTAGAACAATCCTACGGGTCCTCCATATCCTATATGAGTCATATGGTAGTTAGAAAAATAAATAAAAAGTTGTTATAAGGTCATTACCTTAATCACCACACTTCTTCCTTCCTTTTTCTTCCTTAAACCTTCTTCTTGGACTCCCTTGAGCTTGAGTTCGGATTTGGAGCTATGGAGATTAAAGTTGAAGAGCTCCTCTCTCCTCTCTTGTGAATTTGGTCGAAATAATGGGTGTAAGGGGTAGGGGTTGTTCCTTCTTTGTCTTACTTGACAATAATGAGGGGAAATGAGGCCCACTCCTCATTTGATGCAAATCCCTTCCACATCCCTCATCCTTCTTCATGTGGTGCGGACAATTTATGTCTATTTTGAGACTCAAAAACGTGATTTGGCCCCCACTTATGTGGGAGGTCAACCCTTTGTGTCCCGGAGTGTACAATCGGTCCCGAAAGTTGTATTTTTCGGACTGTTTTAATTATATTTTATTTTATCGGGTCAAATAAAATATACTCATGTTCCAAATCCTTTATTGACCTTAGAATGAATATACGTCCCTCAACTTAATTTAGAAGTCTCCGAAATCCCTTTCCGGGCTGTCATCAGATAAATTGCCGATACTGATAATTGGCCCTGTTTGACCAACCGGTCAACCCCATGCCAT